GAATTGGAATAAATGTTGAAATTCTAAATTTTTTTGGAACGAAATTGGAAGAGAATTTTCATTCTGAAATTTTTTAGATTAGAATTTGAATCCCTTGATTCCGATTCGTTCCATCTGAAAATCAAGCCTAGATAGAATGAATTAGTGGGGTTCAAAAGCAAATTGAAAATTCATAGGAAAAAATGGAGCACGGCCTATAATTCATGAGATATTGCTAAATTTTTCCCTTTTTGTCCATTATTCTATTTTATCTCTCTTTTTTATATTATGAATGAAATGTGTTGTGGTGATTTCAGGAAAATGGTGGAACCATGTCATGATGGCATCAGTTCAGTGCTGAAAATAATCTGAAAAGAAAAATAAAAGTCTCATCCAACATCAACGTTATCCTTCTCGGCCTTAGTGGGTTGGTGTTGGTGAAGTGACGCACTTAATTCATCATCGTCCACCTTCATTTGATTTATGATTTCTAAGTTCAGACTCACAACACTTGGAACCTGTTGTTTCTGTACACATCATCACCATCCCTTGAACTTTGGCCCGCATGATTTTGTCGAAGAAGCTACTCCCCTCATCATCAACTGCACTTCACTGCAAAAGCTACTCTATCGATTATGTAATAATCAATAGAAGAAAAGACCTTTCAAAATTAGCATGCGGTGTAATGTAATCAATGGCGACTCTAATCGCTAGTTAATCATAAAAGAAGTGACTACTAACAATTAACTAAGGGCATATATCTATATATATATATATAGATAAGTATGGATGCACCCAAAGGCCACCACACCACCACCAGTCTACTACCTCAATTTCTCTTGCATATAAATAGCCGAAGCATCTAGTGGATTTGGAACTCCTCCATTCTTGTGATCTAACATCTTGGGTTTGCATTGATTTGCTGCACAAAATGGCTTTGGTGAGACTACCAGTCGTCCTGGTCCTGCTGCTAATTATATCAATAAGCTTGGGAATGGCAGCAGCAGATTCAGCAAAAGATAGAGACGAATGTACGCAGCAGTTAGCAGGGATGGCCACGTGTCTGCCTTACGTTGAAGGCCAAGCTAAGACCCCAACACCAGACTGTTGCAGTGGTCTCAAGGAAGTCCTCAACAGCAATAAGAAGTGCCTTTGCGTTATCATTAAAGATCGCAATGATCCAGAACTAGGTCTGCAAATCAATGTCACCCTTGCTTTGGGCCTGCCTTCCATTTGCCATGTCCCTGCTAATATCTCCAAGTGTCCCGGTATATATGTTCTACACGCTACACTATTAAAATGTAGTCCATGATTTCTAGTTGCCTATGTTGCTGTGGGATGGAATGAACCAGTTTTTACTAAAGTAATTTTGACACTTTTCTTTTGGTTGATGATATTGATATATAT